AACAGATTATGGATAACATTGAGAAGAATAGGAATTCCAGAACACTTGATTGTACTCATGAGGAAACTACATAGATCAGGAGGCTGTCATTCGAACAGAACAAGGGGACACTGCATGGTTTAAAATCAGGAAGGGGGTGTGTCAGGGTTGTACCCTTTCACCATACTTATTCAATCTGTTTGCTGAACAAATAATCCGAGAAGCTGGACTATATGAAGAAGATGGTGGCATCAGGATTGGAGGAAGACTCATCATTAACAACCTGCAAAATGCAGATGACACAACTTTGCTTGCTGAAAGTGAGGATGACTTGAAGCACTTACTGATGAAGATTAAAGACTACAGTCTGCAGTATGGATTACATCTCAACATAAAGAAAACAAAAATCCTCACAACTGGACCAATAAGTGGTATCATAGTAAATGGAGAAAAGATTGAAGTTGTTAAAGATTTCTTATTACTTGGTTCCACAATCAACACCAATGAAAGTAGCAGTTGAGACATCAGAAGACATATTCCACTGGGCAAATCTGCTGCAAAAGACCTCTTTAAAGTGCTGAAGAGCAAAGATGTCTCCTTGAAGACAAAGGTGCACCTAACCCAAACCGTGGTATTTTGAATAGCCTTATATGCATGTGAGAGCTGGACAATGATCAAGGAAGACCAAAGAAGAGTTGATGCTTTTGTGATGTGGTGTTGGTGAAGGATACTGAAAGTACTGTGGACTTCCAGAAGAATGAACTAATCTGTCCTGGAAGAAGTGCATCCAGAATGCTCCTTGGGATTGAGAATGGCCAGACTTGGTCTGAACTACTTTAGCCATGTTGTCAGCAGGGACCATTCCCTGGAGAAGAATATCATGCCCGGTAAAGTGGAGGGTCAATGAAAGAGGGAAAGGCCCTCAATGAGATGGATTGGCCCAGTGGATGCAACGATGAAATCAGGTATAGATTGTGAGGGTGGCACAGACCAAGCAGTGTTTCATTCTGTTGTACATAGGGTCACTATGAGTCAGAGCCAACTCAGTGGCACCTAACACCTAGAATGGAGTGTACTTTTTTGTTCACTCATAATCTTTTCCCTCCCTAAAATGCCCCGTCCATCTAAAAAAAAAAATCTTATTATCTCTCAAGACCCCATTTAGGTCCTTCTCTTTCAGGTGTCTCTCTCAAAATAAAAAGATCTTTTTTTTCCCCCCCAAGGACCCTTTTAGCAATGGATTCCATGCATGCGTTATGCCATATTACAATAATCATTTTTGTGGTGAACATAATTTCCATTTCAATTATTCAGCTTCCATAATTTTGATGTATGGGAGACATCTCTACTTTCATGACTCATCTTGGAATAATTATTCTTTACAATAGCGTTGATTTGGGCAGATGTTTCTATTACCCATGTTAATCTGCCTTCCATGAAAATTTGGCTGACCTTCAAAGGGTAAATCAAGATTTTTTTTTCTTTTTTGAGTGGGGAAACCCATTTTATTCTTTGGCTTCCCCTTTCACCTTTGAGATAACCCCCTCTGTTCCTCCCTAGTTTAATCACCACCACATAAAGGAATTTCTGCTTCCCTCCCTGCCCATTGTCCCACCAGGAGGGAAATCCTTCACCAGGGCCAAGAGAAGTAGGAGACAGTGATGGCAACTGCAGCGATGGCAATGGCAGCTTTTTACCCAGAAACATTGTGGCAGGGAGGCAGCGCTGAAGTGGCTGTGTTTTACCTGCTCTTTTTCTCCCCACCCCCCATGTCTTCTGTTTCTTGCTCCTCCATCAAGCTTAATCTTTCTTTGAAAGCCAATGAAAATAAAATCAGTATCAGATTTTCAAAAGTAAAAATGGAAGATTAAATGAAGCATAATAGTTATGAAACAGATTTCATTGTTATACATAACTTCATAAAATAAGCATAGTTCCCATTCTTCCACACAATATTCCCTGCAGCATTTTTACCACAGAATCATGATTCCTTGACAACTCAAGTGAGAAATATGGAGCTCTCGTGGTGTAGTACCTAAGGCATTTGACTGCTAACCAGAAGGTTGGCAGTTCAAACCTACCAGCCACTCCTCAGAAGATTGGACAATCTACTTCTGTAGAGATACCACCTCAGAAACCCAAAGGGTCGCTACGAGTCAAATTGACTCGACGGCAGTGAGTTTGGTTTTTGGTTTTGGAATGAGCACTTGCTCCAAGAACAAAGTGAAAATTAAGTATCCTCAGATGGAAAGCTCACTGGATAAAACGATGTACCACTGGAATAAAGCAAGTGGCATTCCAGGTATACAAAACCAAAAACCAAACTCACTGTTGGCAAGTTGGATCTGACTCATAGTGACCCCTGCTTGGGTTTTCGTGGTGATATCTCTATGGAAGTAGATTGCCCAATTTTCCTTCCCAGGAGTGGCTGATGGGTTAGTCAGGTGAAATAAACGTGCCACTCAATTTACCAGGGAGATCATCTTTCTTTGAAAAATAAATGAATTCTTAGCCAGAACTAATTAAGCTAATGTGTGAATGTGGGTTTTGAGTATTGTGATTTTCTTTACACCCATGCAATCAAACCAACCAGAAGGCTGCCCATCTGGGTTGATGGTGACTTATCAACATCTGGAAGCTATTCTTAATTCTTATTTTGCCGGATCTGGCCAAGAGTTTGGATGGGGATTCAAGGGCAGCACCCAATAACCCTGCGTATATGACTCATTGACTTATCTAAGAAAAAATAAGTCAGTCATTCATGTTAGTGTGGGCATTAGATTAATTCTGAAGTCCAAAAATTTTGTGCAGTGGAACTGCTAAATTTGGGACTAGGTGGTAACATAATTTCCAAAGGAGAAACTCTTACTGGAGAGAGATTATGATGTTGGCTTATTCTATTAAGTTTCTCTGTGTCACATAAAATGCTTCAGTCTCACTAGGCTCCATATAAGCAGGAGGATCAGAACATCACCTAATGTATAATTTTTCTTTTGTCTGCTCTATTTATCAAATCAATTCATACACCCATGAATTTGCCCCATTTCATGAATTCAAATGTTTGAAGGAAGCTTTGAGAAAAAATCGTAGCTTGCTGTAACCTAAAATCAGAATAAAGAGACCATAATTCTGGAGACTCAGTTCTGTTTTCTGTTCAACCACTTCAGTCTTTAGTGTATGTTTGTTGACTATGATTTTGGCTCACTACAATGTCACCATTTATGATGTTGTATTTGTGAAGTGCTAAGTAACTCTGATAAGTTGATTTTTTTAATCAGGTGGTTTTTAGGCAGAAATGATCTATCTTGCCTATTGTTAGGTCTCACCACCCATGGAGAAGATCACTAAGAATCCTGCCTACTACAAGTAGCATCTCTACTTACACCAACAGCTTCTGGTTGTGGAGTCCAGAAGCTGAGTCTCAGGTGGCTTTCCCTTTTCTTTGAGCTTGCAGGTAAAGTGCATCATGGGTTTCCTTATCCATAAACAAATGACGACAACTTACATTAAAAGTAGAAAATTGTTTGCCAGCAGCTTTGCACCTGCTCCCTGGAGAAAAGACCAGGCATTAGAAAGGCTGTGCTGCCATGCAAGAAACGACTCAACAAAAACAGTTCACAAGCCGGATGTGACTTTGTTTCCTCTTTCTAGAAGGGGTATGTTTATTATCATCTCAATTATACCTAAGCTAATGGGAGACATGGTATGGGAAAGGTCTTGGAGAGAGTAACATGGGTAAATAGATGAAGGGTGCATTATTATTTAGACTGATGAAAAAACATAATTCTGTCATACCTGTACCTCGTCTGTCTCCACACCTGTGACAGAGAAAATACACACAGATAGCTCTCATCATTCGCCTAGTAGTTTTTTTTTCTTGAAGTTATGCTACAAATGAAGAGTAAAATGAGAGATTTAATATGATCAGTAATAATTAAGATGGAGGAAGGTGTCAAAAGAGTAGCTAAAAATTATAAGACACATAAACTTATCCTCATTGACAAAACTTGGAAGAAGCTAAGAAAGTCTGTAATTATGGGGTAAAAACTAAAATCAGAAAAGTATGGAAAAAGCACTCAGTGCTCTAAGGGAGCTCTTGTAATTGGTTAGTCACCCTAATAACATTCCACCTGCAATTCAAAGCTTATTTCAGATAAACAAGTGGTAGAATTGCAAACAATCCAAACCAGGTGAGAACTATTAAAGTGACTGGAGTAAATGAAAGTTTGAGAGACACAGTTGGCAGTTATTGTGTGCAAGTGTTTTTCCCTGGTGGGGGAAGGGGTGATTGACAAAGGACAGGAATCAGTGTGTACATTTCCTGCTTCTGTTTCCTCTGGATGTTACAACATCCTCAGAGCATCTCTGGGGTCCTTGAGGGGGAAGAAAGAGAGGGGTGAGTGCTCTCTGGAATCCCTGGGTGGTACCAATGGTTAATGGACTCATCTGTTGGTTAACTGAGTTGGGGTGGTTCAAGTCTACCCAGCGGTGCCTTAAATGGAAGGCCTGGTGATCTACTTTCAGAAAAATCAGTCATTGAAAGCCCTATGGATCACAGTTCTACTTTGACATACATGAATTCGGTGGCAACTGTTTTTTCTGTTTTCTTTTTTTAAAAAAAAAAAATATTCTCTCTACTGCCGTTTTACCTGCTTTAATCTCATCTGTAAGGTATGAGTTGCATGGAAACATCTATCCTACCGGGAGGGGATTGGAGAGAAAATGTTTGTTACATTTGTTACAGCGATGTCAACAAAGGGAGGAGATTCATAGAAATGAACGTTGAGAGGGTGGCATCAGTAACTAAAAAACCCTCTGCTCTCGTAGGTACATTTTCCCTGAACTTGAGAGGCCCAGTTTCTGAAATCTCAAACCTTCAGAAAATAAAAAAAATTTCAGAGTGGATGGAATTCCTATCTTGTTTTAAAGTCTCATGCATATCTTAGAGAAGCAGTTTTTCCAGCCTTAGACTTAAAACATTCTCTTACAGTCTTGTGTATAAATAGGCAAGTTCATTTTGACATTTACTCTTTATTGTGTTGCATGAAGTACCTACGTAATCCAAGTATGCACTGTACTAAAATACCCATATTTCCAAATACATTATGTGGTGAAGCCCACAGTCTCTGCAGAAGCATCGTGAGTAACCTGTGCCTTTATACTTTACAAGCCATTGTTGGCTGCTGTTAGAAGTATGATAACAGGTGGAAAAAAAAAATAACACTAAGTATGAATACACTTTTCCAAACACATCCACACACGGCTTACAATGGAACCTCAACGGAAACAAGTCAAATAACATTTGATGCAATATCTATAAAATGTAGACTCTGCAATAAAAAGCCAAAGGCACATAAAAATATATTTTAACTTTAAAAATAACTTAGTTACAGTAATACTTTGCTTGTGTCTTACCAACATGTAGGTGACAGTCAAAATTTTGCAATATAGATATAATATATAGGGATATGTAAGAACTACAAGAAAATCCCCCAAGCCCATAAAATTATTCAAATGTGAAAACAGAGAAAAGTTTTAACACTGAAGAATTTGCTATGGTAAACCCAAACAGTACAATATAGAAGAGTCTAGAAAAAAGGCTTAGGTGTTAAATAATTTTGACTTCCTCTTGCTCAGAAAATGCTGGAGTACTGCAAAGTTCCTTCCTTTGACTCTCCCAGCTCTTCATAACTAGTGCCAATCCCAGTCAAGCCAGATTCCTTACTTGTCTGCAAACAAAAATGTGAGCTGAAAAACAGCAATGCCTGCCGAAAATGGGCGCTGACTGACTCATTTCCTCTTTTTGCCAGGATAGGGTTTTTTTTTTTTTTTTCCTTTTGTAAAAAAACATTTTGCAAAAAGGACGAAACACAATAGGTAAAAAAATATCTTGTAGGAATGTTATTTTAGAAAACCCATGGCACAATTGCAAATATAACCAGTGAAGCTCTCCTCCTTGACTGTGGTTAGTTTTGGCTTTTCGGTACCTTTCACCCCAGAGGAAATGGGCTGGTGTTCTGTTACTTGTTTTTATCCATGACATTCAGCACCTCATCCAAAAGTGAAGGCCCCAGGTCAAGCTGCAGGGAGAGGAGGGAGCCTGTCAGATCAGAGAGGGACTCCTCTGATTTTGTCTTTTCCTTGATGAGCTCACATGGGGAAGGCTGGTCAAACGTATCCTCCGCCGGCCAGTCGGGGTACTGTTCAGAGAGGCTGGACGAGTGGCTGTCCCTGCCCTGACTGGACTGAGACGCGGAACCACTGGAGCCCCATGAGGTGTCTCCCTGGTGGACTGTCCCGTTCTCCAGAAGACAGCTTTTCTCTTGAGCCTTTTCCTCCACAACAGGCTCACAGCTGAGCCTGGGCAGCTTTGCTGGGCCAAAGGACTCCTGCTTGGAATTAAATGTCACTGGTGACAATAAGGGCAGCATGAGCGCTTGGGACCCTCCGATGGTTGGGAGAGAGATGGCATTTTTGAGCACTGGGGAGGGCGTTTCTGTGAACATAGAGTCAGAGGTGCTGTTGGCCCGGAAAAACTCATTATGCCCAGCGAACTGGCCCATGCGTGCTTTCTCCTGGTTTCCAGGTAGAAGCTCATAGTTGCCCTGAAGAAAGGAAATGTCCCCAAAAACATCATGTTGGCCCTCTTTGCCAATGTGAATGGTGTGGCGAAAGTCTCCAAGGGGAGGACTAATCATATCGGGAGACAGAATGTCCCTCAGTTTAAACTTCTTTCCTTTCTTATTATTGGCAGCTTTCAGATAAATCGGGGTCTTGGCTGGCATTTTGGAATTTGAGAATGTCTATTTTGCAAAAGAGAAAAAGGACCACTTTCTTCACAGAAGTTATATTTCAAAAAACTCCTTTTTGAAATGAACTGTCACATCATTTTTCCCAAGTAGCTTAAGAAGCAGCTCTGAAACAAGATGGCGTCCAAGAAATCTTCCTGAGCTATGGCCAACTGAGGCTTCCAAGAGGGCTGGTCACACCATGCAATCCCTTCCACACCATGAAGAAACCTGGAGAATAAATCAAAGTAGGTTATAAACAGTTGATCCTTTAGGTTTCACTGTTATGTGACATTGATTCCAAATCATTGTGACCCAACAGGACAGAGTAAAACTGTCCCATAGGATTTTGTAGGCTGTAAGCAATGGGGGTCACACTATAGTCAGAACAGACGTGATGACAGTGATTTTAGTTTGGTGTTTGGTGAACTTTGCGGGAGCACATCCCCAGATCTTTCTCCTTCAGAGTAGCTGGTACATTGGAACCACCAGCAACCTTCCGGTTAGTGGTTGAGGGCTTTAATCACCTAGGCTCCTTTCAGGGTTCACTAGAGTCCTGCCTTTTCACATAAGCCCTGTAAATAAAGGGCAGTTCCTACCTAAAATTAAGCTTTATGCTGTTGTTTTCCTACATTAAGCAGGATGAAAGCTTTAATCTTAACAAAGGCTCACTAATCTTAGTCTTACTTCAGAAGAAAAAAAATAAGACAGAGAAAGACTTAAAAATGCCAAACCTATGACATCAGCACTTTTTAAACATGGCCATGGGCACAATTTTCTGGATATGCCTAAGATTGTAGCCCTTTTCCTCTAATCTAAAAACTATAGTCAGCACATGACCAGATTGCTTTTAGCTCCTGAAGTGTACCTAGATTTATTTAAAAACGTATTTTTCCTTTTGCTTTGGCATCCCCCTTAGCAAGAATGACACTATTTTGTGGTTGAGTTCTATATGTAAATAAAACGAATGCAATATGATTAACAGTCCTATAAGGAAATAAGGGGGAGCTGTGGTGGCATACTGCCGAAGGCATTTGACTGCTAACCAGAAGGCTGGATGTTCAAACCCACCAGCCACTCCTCAGAAGGAAGGTTGGGCAATCTACTTCTGTAATGATACTGCCTTGGAAACCCAAGGAGGAGTCACTATGAGTCAGATCCAACTTGACAGCCGTGAGTTTTAAGGAAATAAGGAGCCCTGATGGTACAGTGGTTACGTGCTCAGCTGCTAAACAAAAGGTTTGAATCCACCAGCTGCCGTGGGAAAAAGATGAGGCAGTCTGCTTCCAGAAAGTTTAGAACCTTGGAAACCATATGGAACAGTTCTACTCTATCCTATGGGGTCACTATGAGTTGGACCCAACTTGATGGCCATGGGTTTTGGTTTTGTTTTTCTAAGGCAAGAGGCTAGAATACCATTTACAGAGTAACTGGGAGCTCCAGGGTGTGGTGTCTAAGGCATTTGACTGCTAACGAGAAGGCTGGAGGTTCAAACCCACCAGCCACTCCTCAGAAAGAAGACTGGACAATCTACTTCCACAGAGATGTTGTTGTTATGTGCCATTGAAATCGGACCCGACTAGAGACACTATCTTGGAAACCCAAAGGGAGGGGGGTTTGCTATGAGTCAAATCGACTCAACAGCAGTGAGTTTTTTTGTTTTGTTTTGTTTTGTTTAAGTAACTGGATGGTGCAAATGGTTAACACACTTGATTGCTAACTGAAAGGTTGAAGGTTTGAGTCCATTCAGAGGTGCCTTGGAAGGAAAGCCTTGTAACCTACTTTGGAAAAATCATCCACTGAAAATCCTATTGAGCACACACACAGTTCTACTCTGATGCACATGGGGTCCTTAAAGTCAGAACCAACTTGACTCTAACTGACAACTATATGGCAGTGTCCAACATCATCTTAGTGAAATGTGTTCTTACAGAGGAAGAAACACAATTCAGTAGTTTAAAAAAAAAAAAAAATCATTCTAATAACACACAGCCAATAGGTGAAAGAGCTGGAATTGGAATCAATACGTGGGGAGAGTACTGAGCTCAGGACTTGGTGGTCTTCTGAGATGGAAGAAAAAGAACAAAACTGCTTCTTTTCAAAGAAACAATAGTGTGGTTACATGTATTAGGCTGGGACTTCACTCCGAATTACCTTCAAAACATTTTCTAGTAGGTTCCTCTCTCTATGTAAGTACAATTCTAAAATGGCTGCCACGATCTCTGCTTCCTGGTGCTAATGCCTTTCCATAATTCCCTCTCCTAGATCATGGGCAGAACCTGTGACTTGCTTCGAACCAACAGCATGTGGTGAAAGGGATAGAATGTGACTTCCTGGGTTATGTTACGTTATATGAGACTTTCACCCTTGCAGACTATAGTGAGAGAGACTGCCCTTACTGGCTTTGAAAGCCTTACTGGCTTCCATATTGTGAGACAGCCTATGGAAATAAATTCTGCCAATAATCTGAAGAAGCTTGGAAGATTCCCCATTCAAGCTTCTGGTGAAACTGCAACCCTGGCTGACACTTAGATTACAGCTTGATGAAACTCTGAGCAAAGGACCCAGCCAAGCCCCGCCCAGACTCTTGACCCACAGAAACTATGAGATAATAAAGTGATGCTGTTTTAAGTTACTACATTTGTGGGACTCTGTTACAAAGCATAGAAAACTAAGACACTTCCCACACATTATGTCAAATAATAAGATTAGAGGTGAAGAGCTAGATGGCACTGGGGACCTCAAGACCTCATTTTACAGATGTCAGTCTTGGTGCACATAATACCATGTCTTCATCTCCAAATAATTCTGTGACTTTTCAGTAGTATCAGTTCCCCACAGTGGGAATCCCCTAATGGCTCTGCTGTGACCTTTTCCCTAGGATGCTCTTTTCCCCTTGGTTGCAGAGCCTGCAAAAATATTCTAGGACTGGGGGAGATAGTGCCTTGAAGAGAGTTGTATTTGCTTTGTAGCCACTGGGAATGGCTCCCATCTGTTCTACTTTTCAAGAAGAGTTTTAAATTCATTTGCCAATGACAGGTGACAAGAACTTTGCTCCGCCACCCTCCACTACTCACTGGCAAGGTAACAACTGTCTGCGAAATAGTACCATACAGTGATCCAGGCCAGAGAAGACAGAGAACAATGAGCTGGAGGGACGCCATCCCCACCTCTACTTTGGGCAGCATGAAGAGGCTTGCACCCACTCAGAGTGGGCTGACCTCAAAACTGTTGAAGAGAAGTACATACTCACCACTTCCCACTTTCTCTTTTTAGTCACAGCTGAGGCACTGGGTCACAAAGGCACTGGGTTTTGGAGTGCATTTAAGGTTAGGAGCATCATAGAGTCACTGTGTGATTACAAGAGACTCCTGATACTAAGTGGAAAAATGGGAAACCCTACGAAAGGAAGCCACAACCTGGGCCCTGACATTCTCACTTATAGTTTTAGATCTAATTTGTGTCTTGTAGTAATAACAAAAGAAGTTTAAACCCTGGGTCCTCTTGCTAAAATGTCAGCGTTTCCTCCCATGTAAGTGCACAATACATAGTACCAGCCTAGGGCCCTGCCAACCATCTTTGTGCCTCTCTGGGAATAGTGCAGATGACTGGGATGACTGGCTACAGAAGGCTCTGGGGCACTGGTTGCAGATGTTGGGAGGGACAGCACTGACAAATGACCACCCACCAGTGTAGTATCCTCAGCCCACACAGACAAGAGGGCAGCTGCAGCAAAAAGACACACTGTATTTACCACAATTCAGGTTGGTGGTTTAGATCTACTTAGAGGCAATTTGGAAGACAGGCCTAGCAATCTGTTTCCAAGAGGCTGTGACTTTGAAAACCCTGTTGAGCAGTTCTACTCTGCACACATGCCATGAGTCGGAATCTACTTGAAGGCAACTAACCACAACAAAGCTCAGAATGCGCTTTCTTGCAGAGCCAATGTTATACATGGTACAGTGGTCTTGAGACCAAACAAATAAATCAAACCCACTGCCACTGAGTCGATTCCAACTCATAGTGACCCTATAGGACACAGTAGAACTGCCCCTTAGGGTTTCCAAGGCTGTAAATCTTTAAAGCAGTAGACTGGCTCATCTTTCTCCAGTAGAGAGGCTGGTAAATTAGAACCGCTGATGTTAGCAGCCAAATACATTAACCACTACACCACCAGAGCTTCTGAGAAGCCCACTGAATCTGTGATCATAACACAAATGTATTTATGGGGAGATGTGGGCAAAAGCCACAGTCTGGGAAGATAGTGTGTGGATATATGAAGTCTTTATAAGAGCACTAGGCTTGGTCCCACATGAACTTGACAAAGGGACTTCTTCCTGCGGTCATCAGCCCTTCACCAAGGAGGCAGCATCAACCTGTATTTTACAGAATGGAAAAAATTTCAGAAGACCTGTATTTTGCAGAATGGAAAAGATTTCAGAAGATAATGGGTTTTAGAAAGATGCAAATGTGAAGAGGCAGGAGCACAAGGATGCTGGAGAAAAGGCAAGAGGACATGGCATCCATATGCAGGGAAGGAGACAGGTGGAGGTATTTGGGCCCAGTGTATAAACCCTTGTTTGTGAGGTGGCCAGTGACATAGACAGAAAAAGCTTTATGGTGAAATGGTCCTCACTACCATGACACGAAATCCTGTCCCTCCTTATGATTTTAAAAAGAGGAGGCTGATGGTGGCTGGCCAATGTGGTAGTAGACAAAGTGGGCAAAGCCTGAGTCAGGGGGCTCCCAAGATGCTTTGCTCTATGCCCAGAAGGAAGCAAGACATGCTTGCAGGAGGGTGGTATTCAAGAAGAAGGGCTGACTTGGGAGGGTTCATAGGCCAGAAGTGCATTATTAGACTAGAACTGGCAAGAGGGCACTCCTAGGTGTTCCACAAGCCATGTGACAAGTTACAGCCTGTTTGTAATAGGCCAGAATCTACTACTGTGGTGTAGTAAATTACATAGTGTGGATTTTCTAGCCATAAGTCTTTGTAAACTCTGAGTGGAATTTGCTGTGAGCAACTGAATAGCTCCTGATAGTTAAAAGTTACCCACCTGGGGTATTTTTGTTGGGAGAAGCACAAAGTAATTTTCCAGAAGTTCGCTCTCTCTCTCAGTTACATAGAATTCTGGTGTTGGGATTAGTTAGTTTGGCCACTCTCCCAGGCTCAAAAGGAGCCCTCCTGGAGGCAGAAGGAATCT